GTTCCAATATATGACAAGGAACAAAACCAGCCAAAAACTGCTACTACAAAAAACTTGTATATAACAAGAACCCGAAATCTCTGTTGCTGTTTAAAACTGAAACCTGCACATTCTGTCACTTGCACTTGAGCTCAATCTGCACACTCTGCTTCAAATCAATCTACTAAGCTGCTGTTAAACCTGCACAATTACCAATCAACAAATAAAATTGTTGTTAAAACACTGTTTTTGACTGTTGTTAAGCACTGTGTAGCTGCCACTTTTTGACAGATTGCTCGAACTGCCCTTAGAAGCTGTTTGACAAAATTGATGCAAACAGACTGTCCATACAATGAAAACAACCTGTGTTTTTTATCATTCCAAACTGCACCAGTTAAATCTGCTGTTTCCTTTCTTCTTGCATCGACTGTACACAGCTCACTATAAACAGATTTTGCTATTGATTTGTTGCTGCTGTTTTATTAATTCTGAAAAATTAAGACCTGTTGTTTGCTGCTTTGTGTATGCTGTTACCTGCTGCTGCACACTGCTGTTATGAACCTGTTTTTCAATCAATAGACAACAGAAAACAGAACAGCAAGTCTGCTACCTGTTTTAACCTCGATCAATACCTGTGGAGCTGCTGCACACKGTGTAGCTGAAGYTGTTAAGACCTGTCAAAAATCTATAAATCTGTATTATCAAACTAAACCTGCTGTTAGCTTAAAACTGTTACTGCTATTCAAAACAGTTCATTTTCTGCACAAAATCAGCTCAAAACAGCAAACAAGAAATACACATTTTGATTAAAAACAGTAAGAAACTTGCAACTGGACCTGTCAAAAATTGATGCTTAAATYTGCACACTGTTGCTGTTTCAAACCTGTTAAGAACCTGCTAATAACAAATCTTTGTTGCTGCTGTTCTTATTGCTGTTACTGTTAAACAAGGTTGCTGTTGCTTTTGCTTAAACAGCCAAGTTAAACAACAAAACTACTAGAGTCTTAACATACACAGCACAAATCAAACAGAAGAAAGTACAGTTTAATGAATTCGTCCAAATACACAGCTTAAACAGATTACAGCATCAATAAACAGATATGGGCATTAGTGACTTATGACAGCAAACTCTAAACAAACACAGAAAATCTTTTGTCTGTCTCCCTCTGAAACTGYTGTTATGTGGTCCAAGTATGACTTAGACTAATATGCAATCTACTCAAAAACAACAAGCACAATTTTCTTATGTAATTGAAATGTAACTGCCTTACCAACAACAATRCCTGTGTAACAGTGTAAATCGAAGCTTAGATCTTTACAGTCCGAACAATTCACTGTCTGTCACCACTTGTGTTATGACAGCAAGCTAAACCACTTGACTGTTTAAAAAAAAATTCCTGCAAGCGGTGATTCTCAAGACCAATTTATTAAGCTCAAAGACAAAACACAATGATAYCAACCAAATCCAAAATCTAAACACACATGACAGAATCAAATTCGAACAAAACTATAACCTGGTTTGTCCCACTTAAATTGTAAAACCAAGACAATTCACAAAACCATCAGATTCCATATTGCACAATYTGCTACTRTATAAACCGCTTCCAATACTATGAATGACTWAAAGCTTGTTCAAGATCAACATCATAAAAACAGTCAAGGTATTACAAAAATGAACCAAGAAACAGTGAACAAATTAAAATCTGGGTAATATGAATTGATAAATGGAATCAAGCGGATTAGAAGTCCRYTCAATATACTTTGATGCACAACAAATTCTAAGTTCTAAACCGCTCGAATACCGGACAAGAGGTGATCGGTTTAGGTATAAAYCGCTCAAATTGAAAACCTTGATATGAGATGAAATTGAAAAGCAAACCTGATGAGTTGTGCGGTTTAGCTTAAACCGCTCAAGGAAAACTCAGAATCCGCTCAGAAAACCGATGAAACTTTGTGCGGTTTACCCTTAGCCGAGAAATCGATTGAAGTCTTGAACCAAACCGGAGAACAATCCGATCAATAGGTGAACGGTGTAATCTCTTCTCCGCTCAAGTGATGTGCGGTTTAGATGAATACCGCTCAAGATATCCGATGAAATGTATGCGGTTTATCCTTTATCTTCTCAATTTATCATCTAATTTTMTGTGTGAAGAACTAGTTCGATGAAGATGAATAAGATGAATAGGATGAAGAAAATAATATGGGCCTAAAAGATGGGCCAAAAAGTTGGGCGGTTTAACAAGAAAAATCAAACAAAATATATTCAAAAACAGATCAAAAACACTTAAAAACACACAAAAAAAACAAAAAATTAACAACAAAATGGATCAAAAACACTGATTTACAAAAAAAATTTAAGAACACGAAAAAAAATTTCAAAACCTAAAAACCGATTAAATCTTGATTTATTTTGATCAAATCACAAAAATTTGTGAATAACAAAGATTCACAATTCAATTTCGAACATTTTGATCCTGTTTTTAACGCAAAAACACAAGATTTTATGAGAAAATCGGATCAAACAGAAGAAAAAAAATCAAAAACACGAAGAACACGAAGAACAAAAAAAATTCAGAAATTAAAAAAAAAACTTATCTGATCGATTCCTTCAATCTGATTTCTTGCATCCTGCTCTGATACCAATTGTGTGTCCACAATATCTGATCAATTGTTCAATATCTTCATAATCAACAATGGCAGATTCATATATGGCATTCAAGAACTCAAGAACATTGAGAGAAAAAGTCAACTCATATAAGCTCAGGTCAAACTCTCAATTATGAATGTATTATTACAATTAAGCTCCTCTCYCTAATTACAAAGATTACCAACCTATTTATATGGTCAAACATACAAAGACAAAGTYAAACTAGTCTAAGAAWGTCAAACACGCTGACTTTTACAATTATAGACTAAAATTAATCTTTCAAGACGAATACAATTAATACTGATTTTTCAGTCCTAACAATGTCTTCCAAAGGTAGAACCAATGATTCGTCGGCTAAACATTTCTTAAGGTTTGATACGTGAAATGTATCATGGATGACACTTAGCTCTTGTGGCAAATTCAACTTGTATGCCACTGGTCCTATCCTCTCAGCTATCTCAAATGGGCCACTATATCGGGGGCTCAATTTGCCTCTTTTTTCGAAACACATCAGTCCTTTCCAAGGTGAGACCTTTAATAGTAACTTATCACCTTTCTGAAATTTCAATGGTTTCCTCCGATTGTCCGCATAACTTTTCTGACGATCTCTTGCGGCCTTAAGTCTATCTTTAATAGTTATAATTTTGTCCGTAGTCTCCTGGATAACATCAGGTTTGGTTAATTGTCGATCGTCGATTTCTAGCCAACTGAGCAGAGATCTACACTTGCGTCCATATAAGGCTTCGTAAGGCGCACACAGTATACTAGTGTGATAGTTGTTATTGTACGCAAATTCGACTAACAAAAGATGCGTATCCCAACTTCCACAAAAATCTATGGCGCAAGCACGTATCATATCTTCTAAAGTCTGAATTGTTTTCTCCGTTTGCCCATCTGTTTGAGGATGATAGGAAGTGCTTAAGTCCAACTTCGTGCCTAGTGCCTTTTGAACTGATCGCCATAATCGTGAAGTAAAACGGCTATCTCTGTCTGAGATGATAGAAATAGGTACTCCATGACACGATACGATTTCATTGATATATAATTGTGCAAGCCTTTCCATACTGAAATCTTCTCGAACAGGTAAAAAATGCAGATTTCGTAAGCTGGTCCACTATGACCCAAATTGAGTCATGTCCTTTCCTAGTGCTAGGCAACTTTGTTATGGAATCCGTTGATACTTGTTCCCACTTCCATTTGGGGAATCTCTGGTTGCTGGAGTAGACCATACGATTTTTGGTGTTCTACCTTGACCATTGCACAGGTTAAGCACTTACTCACATATAGGGCAATGTATCTCTTCATGACAGACCACCAATAGTGATTCCCTAAGATCCTTATACATCTTATCTGCTCCCGGGTGGACTGACTATCTTGAAATATGGACTCCATCAAAAATTATTGATCTAAGATTACCAACCTTAGATATTCAAACCTTATCTCCCAAATAATGCACTCCATCTTGCGGGATTCGGATAATCTTTTCCGAACAACCTATCTCAACTCGATAGTTGGATAACCAATCCATACCTACAACTACGTCAAAGCTTCCTAATTTGGTTGGGATGAGGTCTATACTAAAAATCCTTTTTGGCTAAGTTTATAGTGCAGTCCTTAATTACGTCCCTAGCCTTAACTTCCTGACCATTGGCAAACTCAATTGCATAAACTTCCTTCAACTTTTGTGACTTTAAATTAATTTTTGGCTTAAAATCTAATGATACAAAACTTTTTTCTGCTCCTGAATCAAATAATACGGATGCATAATGATTATTCAAGAAAAACGTACCTGTGACCATGTCAGGATCATGCCTAACCTCTTTCGCTCCAATTTCGAATGCTCGACCCTGCATTTGACCTCTTGGGTTCCCTGGATTAGCGGGTCTTGCTTGGTCAAAATTCGGTCTTTGCTTCCTTCTTGGGCATTCATTTCGCATATGATCCACACTTCCACACTCAAAACACGATCTCCTTCGACAATCTTTTGTAAGATGGCCTGTCCTTCCACACTTTTGACAGGCAATGCATTTTCCCATGTGCGGATATCTACATTTATCACACTTAAGATTATTTCCTTTGACCTACCACTTGAGTCTGAACTCTGAAGTTTCCCTTTACTCTTCGATTCCTTTCAAATCTTCCTCCAGATTGTTGGTTACTACTCTCCTCTATCTTCCTCTTACCTTTGGTTTTGTCTTTTGCAAACTCTCCAGACTTAACAGCATTATTGGTCAGCCTGGTTGCTATGCTTATTGCTTCTTGGAGAGTCTTTGGGTTTGCTGATGTGATGTCTCCGCGAATCTCTTGAGATAAACCCCAAATGTATCTATCGACTCGATTTTCTTCGGGTGTTACTAGATGTGGTACTAGTTTTGCTAATTCGTGGAATCGAGAAGTATAACCATCTATATCTGCTCCCTTCATTTCGTGATTCCACAGCTCAAATTCCAGCTTCTGGAGTTCACTCCTTGGGTAATACTCATCCTTGAGTAGCTTCTTGAATTCTTCCCATGTAAGCTGATTAGCTGCCTCTCGTCCTCTAGTTTGTACCAACGTATTCCACCAGGCAAGTGCCCTTCCTTGTAACAAACATGCAGCATATTCTACTTTGTTTCCTTTAGTACATTTACTGATGTGAAGAATATATTCCATGCTCTTGAGCCATGATAATATTCCTACTGCTCCTTCGGTTCCATAGAATTCTTTCAGGTTGCAAGATCTAAAAGATTTATAAGTGAATTCCCTAGCCACCCTCGGCTCTGGATTATTTGGTTGGTTAGTATTCAGACCAGCAGCCACTTGACTGACTATGTTAGGGAGTCCTGCTAAGAGTTGCTCACACACGAGTCATGCGACTTTCGGGTTCTCTCTTCTTGGGGGCATTTTCTAGAGCCTAATTCGAATGAGAATTTGGTCATGCTAGAGTTATTATTATACAAGCTCTATTCTACTAGGTTATAAGTGACATACGACATATAAATATACCACAATCATTTAAACACATAGATATGGTAATGTACAACAATTCCATAAATGTGCATAAGAGAACATCTAATTCATAACATCACAAATTGAAGTATCATAAACGCATCATCCAACAAAATAATTTCTCCAAAAAGACATCAAGTTGCTTAGAGTTTCAAACTACGGGCTACATACCCCAAAAGAAGATTCTAGGTTTGATCTATTAAAAGCTTAATAAAATAGAGTCTTCTAGCGTATTAGACTCCAAACAAGTAGTCCTATCACTATCACCAAAACTCCTACTAACACTGCCAAATAGGTATATAACCTCCTAATCGCTCCCCTAGCGGTGTTAATCAACTCCAATGAACGATCCATCACATTGTCTTGCGTGCATAGGGCCATAATCACCTCGTCGGTGAAGTGTCGATGATGATCCAACCTAAGTTCACACATCTCTAGGTCTTGGACGATGCCCAAAACCCATAGGTTCTCTAAGGTGGTCATGCCTGGTGAGCGCTCTGACGTGGCCCTGGTAGTAGGTGGGGGCGTCACACTACAGGTGTGCGACTGGGATGACTCCCTCCCAACTCCGGAAGGGGCGGAGAAAGACACCCTTACCGACGGAGGAATGCTCGGGCGATGGCCCGAACTCTAACTTCGTGTGCCACTAATGGATGCGCGGGCATAGGGCGAGGCGGCATGGGGGTAGGTAATCACGTCGGGAACTCGGCGACATCGTCGTTACTATCATAACTATGCTTAGAGTGCAGCCCATGATTATATCTCTGGTCCTAATTTCTTGGCCATTGAGAAACTTAATTACTAATCACATCATCAATAAAACTCTTAAGGTTAAGACGAGAGTTGTTATGGTAGAAAACAAATTAGAGCTTCTGGTTGACCAGAGCCTCTGGTTGACCAGAGCCTCTGGTTGACCAGAGCCTCTGGTTGAGGTTCCCATACTTGGAACTACATTTGACTTTTAGCTCATCGGCCTCTGGTTCAACCTTCATAGCAGTCCATTGGATCTCTTGGTCCATCAATTTCAGATTCCTCATATATAGTAAACCGATGAATCGCCTTCTATCGACCTTCAGGTTCCTCATACATAGTGAGCAGATGGGTCATCTTCCATTAATCTCCGGTTCCTCATACTTAGAAAATATTTCCCTTTCATAGACCAGAGCCTCTGGTTCTTCTAACCAGAGCTTCTGGCTCTCGAAATCAAGCCAGCCAGAGCTTCTGGATGCTCTTCACTTATATAGAATAGTGTTCCTTATTCAAAGCTAGAACGCAATTCTCACTATGTCCAGGCAATTTCCTACCTAACGTATAGTGGGAATTTTGAATATAGAGGCTATAGAGACTATACCCCTTTATCTATGTCTGGCTACCAAGTATTTAGATAAAGTGTTGACGCTTGGGTTGTCTTAGCGCTCTATATATCTTG